TGTCTCATTACATTAGCTAGTATGCAATGAAACCCAGTACAATGTTAAAAAGTGGTGGTGAGAGGAGACATCCTTGCCTTGCTCCTGATCTTTGTAGAAAAGCTTTGAGTTTCTCACCATTAAGTATGATGTTAGTTGTAGGATTTTTGTAAATGATGTTTATCAAGATGAAGAAGTTCCCTTCTATCTCTAGTGTGTGCAAAATGTTTTCGCCATGATTAGGTATTAGATTTGATAATGCCTTTTCTGCATCTATTGATAAGCTTATGTGATTTTTCTTGTTTAGCCAACTGATGTGATGAATTACATTAGTTGATTTTCAAATGTTGAGCCAGTCTTAAATACCTGGGAGAAAATCCACTTGATCATGATTGTAATTGTTTTTACACATTATTAGGTTTTATAATTTGTGGAGGAATTTTTAAAAAACATATTTTTGTTGATTTCAGAGAGGAAGGTAGAGGGAGCGAGAGATAGAAACATCAATGATGAGAGAGAATCATTGATTTGCTGTCTCCTGCATGACCCCTACTGGGGATCAAGCCTGCAAGCGTGACCTCTTGGTTCATAGGTCAATGCTCAAGGACTAGCCAGGCTTTTGGAGGATTTTTGTATCTGTGTTCTTTATCTGTGTTTCTGGTCTGTATTTGTGTGTGTGTGTGTGTGTATGTGTGTGTGTGTGTGTGTGTGTGTGTGTGTGTGGTCTTTGTCTGGATTTGGTATTAGGGTAAAGTTAGACATATAGAATATGTGAGGGGAAAACTTCTATCATGTGAAAGAGATTTTAGAGAATTGCTATGATTTTTTCCTTAAGTGTTTGATAAATTTAAGTAGTCAACCCATCTGGGCATAGCGCTTTATGTTTTACAAGATGATCAATTATTAATTCAATTTCTCTATAGATATAGGCTTGTATGCAGTGTCTAATCCTGTTAGAATTTTGGCAATCTGTCTTTTGAGCAATTGATCTGTTTCCTCTATATCATAAAATTTCTGAGCATAGAGTTATTTATAATATTATTTTATTATCCTTTTAATGTCCATGGCGTATCTTGTGATATCCCCTCTTTCGTTTGTCTCCTCTCTTTAGCTCTTAGTTAGCCTTGCTAGAGAGTTAACAATTTTATTTCTCTTTTCAAAGAATCAATTTTTGTTGATTTTCTCTTGATTTCCTATATTCAGTTTCATTGATTTCTGCTCTAATATTTATTACTTTTTTCTTCTGCTTACTTTACATTTAATTTGCTCTACTTTTAGTTTCCTTAGGTGAATGTTAGACTATTGATTTTCAATCTTTTATTTTCCATTCTAATATATACATTCAGTACTATAAATTTCCATTTAAGCACTACTTTTCCTACTTCCCACAAGTTTTATGTTGTATTTCTGTTTTTATTTATTTATTTAAATGTATTTAAAATGTTCTCTGGAGATGTCTTCTTTGACCCATATGGTACTTAAAAGTATGTTTAACTTCAATGTATTTGGGATTTTCCAATTATATTTCTGATACTGGTTTCTACTTGAATTCCATCATGGTTTGAGAACAGACGTTAAATTATTTTTTACTTTGTTAACATGTGTTTTAAGATGCAGAATGTGCTCTATCTTGGTGAGTATTACATGACAATTTGAGCAGACTGTGTATTCTGTTGTTGCTGAGTGAAGTAGTCTATAGCTGTCAATTATATTCACTTGGTGTTGTTGAGGCAAACTATATTCTTTCTGATTTTCTGCTTGTTGAAACTGTCCATTTCTGATACAAAGGTGTTAAACTCTACAATAATAATAGTGGATTTATCTATATCCCCTTGCAGTTCTATCAGGTTTTTTTTCTCATGTATTTTGACACTGGCGTTAGGTGCATACCTATTAAAGATTGTTGTCTTCTTTGAGAATGAATCCCTTTATCATTATTTAAAGCCCTATTTATCCCTAATAACCATCCTTGCACTGAAGTTTGAACTGTCTAAAGTTAGTATAGATACTCCCACTTTCTTTTGATTACTGTCAGTGTGCTATATCTTTTCCCATCCTTTTACCTTTAATCTATATGTATCTGTATAGTTAAAGAGGGTTTATCTTTGACAACATATTATATTTGGATCTTCTTTTCTCTTCTGATCCACTCTTTTACTTAGTATATTTAAGCCATTGATGTTTAACGTGAATATTGAGATAATTAGAAAATCAACCATATTTGTTACTGTTTTTTATTTATCACCCTTATTCTTTGTTCTTATTTTTGTGTTCCACACTTTTTTCTTTCTTTTCTGAATTTAACTAAGAGTTGTTGTTTTTTTTTTAATATAAATTTTATTGAGTTTTTACAGAGAGGAAAGGAGAGAGATAGTTAGAAACATTGATGAGAGAGCAACATCGACCAGCTGCCTCCTGCACACTCCCCACTGGGGATGCGCCCGCAACCAAGGCACATGCCCTTGACCGGAACCGAACCCGGGACCCTTCAGTCCGCAGGCCGAAGCTCTATCCACTGAGCCAAACCGGTTTCGGCTCTTTTGTGAATTTAATTGAGGATTTTATATGATATAAATTTTCCTCCTTTCTTAGTATATCTTATTTTACTCTTTTTTAGTAATTGCCTTAGAGTTTAAAATGTACATTTATAAGCAATCCAACTATAAAACTGACTGGAGGTACCTTTTTACTTTTAAAAGTTATTTTCTCTAACTGCCTTTATGGGGACTGATATAGGGTTAAGCCTCGGACTGACCTGCTGGCAAAGTCACAAACAAGTCCCAGCTTAGAGGGCTCAGTCCTCTTAGCATAATCAGGCTTGACCTTATAACACTCCCCAGATCTTACCTGAGAAACTAAGGGGCTGAGGGAAGTGCAGGGAGTGTAAACATGGTCAAAACCAGTGAAACTCACAAGAACTGTGTAACTATGGTAACCACTGCCTTGTTTACCTCTGACTATAAAAGGTCAGTGCGGCCTGAGCACGGGTGGAAGTCCTTCCTCTTGAGTTGGACTTACCGCCTGGCCCCCCAATATTCCCAAATTATCTCTTGTCTTTGCTCTTTCATTTGTGTGCGGCTCCTCTTCCAGATACTGAACCCTGAACCACGCGGGACGTGGAGGGAAACATTTACCACAGCCTCAAATAGAAGGTTTAATGACTATAATTTGTCTCTATAATATAAAAATAAATTTGGCTCAAAATAATATTTTCAAATTCATAAACATATTAGGGAGGTTAAGGAAAAGGCAACATGAGAGGTAGGAATTTAGTAGGGAACACCTGTGAAACACCTGTATGCACTCATAATTTTGAAAAAATGATGGAATTGTTCAAGATATAATAAAATGTTGTCCAACTTGTGTCTCACTTGTCTTACAATCTTAAAGAAGCAGCCAAAAAATATATATGAACATATGGAGCTTCAAAGATGTGAGGAATTTGGTTTATTCACTTACTTGGCAAATGATTATTGAGAACCTAATAGTATAAGAAGTACTTCTCTTATAGTCATTATAATTTAAGAATTTAAAGGCTTCTATAAAATCATTTATCTAAATATGTTCAGTTTTTTAATTAAAAAATGGACAAGAGATGAAAGGGGAGAGAGAGAGAGAGAGAGAGAGAAAGAGAAAGAGAGTTGGGGTGGAGGAAGGGGGAAGCATTGCTCAAAATTACAAAATAAGTAAGCCATAGAAGAAGAATGAGGAGAAGGGTAAAGGAGAAACTTTGAAGTTAGGGTCTGGCAATCTGTGTTTTAATTGATCCCAAATATGATTCTCATGTATATGAAAGTTTGAGAAAGATTGATTAAAATTAAGGAGAAAACAAAATAGATATGTTGGCAAATTTAGATGATTTGCTAACTTTGACAAAAGAACATTAAAGTAATGAAGGAAAACGACAACTGGAAAAAATAAAAATTACATGCTTCAGGTCCCTGTGTGTAAAAAACACACAAAACACCTTGCTTTTTTTAAGACAAAAGAATAAGAGTGTTGAGATATATATATATGAAAATTTTAATTTTAATAAATGATCACATAAAGAGAAGGGTAGAAAAAGAATGGAGAACAATTTACTAACAACATGCTATGTACCAGACATTCACATGCATTATCCCTTTAATCTTCACAACCCTGTAGTCAATGGATGAGGACAGTGATACCTGCTCACCCAACCTTATGGTACCTCCGCATACAACCTCATGGGGACTCCACATACATGGACTTTTATACCATCATCTGAATTTCAAATGTACTCATGATTATCTAATAGCTTATCTGTGGAAAGAAAATATTACAGAATGCCTTTCAAGATACCATGCTATAAATTGGGAATGCTCATTATTAATATTAAAGTGAAATCCCATATAGCATTATTTGAAATAGCCTAAATTAGGATTTTAGTGCTTAGTCATTATTTACAGTCTCCAGCAGGTTGATAGAAGTCATTTCATTAATGCATAATAATACAAATCCCACATGTGTTCCACACTTGATTATTTTAGACTCATTTATAGTGTGATGGTGGGATTTGCTGTGCTTAAAATTTCCTTGGCAGCAAGTCATAAAAACTCAATGTAAATTAATTAAAATGAAAGGAGAATCTACTGAAAGATCATGAACAAACCCAGATGACTCAGGTAGGTGGAAAAAGCAGAAGCAAACCCTGAGCCAAGGAGTTGGGTACAAGTAATTTATGGAAAAACACTTCCAAGGGAAACCAATTAGGAGGTGGGGAAAGAACAGGGGAGCAGTTCATCAAAGGTGTGATTTCATGTGAAGCCCAGACCCCGACTGGTCCTTCAGGAAGCTGTGAAGTGTAAATTCTTCCTCGGAATTTGTTCCCCATCTCTGAAAAGATTTGAGCTTTTGTATCCTTCCATCATTCAGGCTTTGACTATACCAGGCGACCTGTGCTTTAACTGTGTTTTCCTCAAGCTATCCAAATGATCAGGCATCTCCAAGGACCAAAGATAATTCTCTGAAGAAGGGTGCAAGTGTGAGCAATTAAGAGCAAAGCACAAGAAGTTGGGAGCTGAGCCGACAGAATTGGTTACAAAAGGATCCGAGTGGAAACCAATAGTGTCTGCTAAAGTGACGTGTGCAGCTGAGCCTTAGAACAACTGTCACTTGCTGATTGGTTGTTCTGAGTGTGTCTCCCATTTCTACCCCGTGTGCTGGATCCCTTATTCCCTGCCTATAAAATACCTTTTTTCTACAGCATGGCAAACATTACTGCTGGTTTTATATATTGCAGGTTCAGTTGATGGAGAGAGACAAACTCTATTAATTCCAAGACCAGAAATCCCAGGAGAGGATACATTGACCTCATTTTGCAGCTGCCCATCTTTGACTCACCTTGTTCAACTGAAGGTCAAGCTGTGGGGTGATGTGTAAGAATATGCCAACTCCCTCCAGGGTGGCTAGAGCACATGCGAGCAGAGGTAGTTCCCAGAAGAAAGGGTTGATGCTGAGCAGTTGGTCCTATGGTTCTAACTTCCACTACCCAGTGTAAACGATGTAGACTCCATATGCTGAGTGGGACCTCTTTCTACTTAGCTCCTTTTTGATACTTAAATTGAGAGAGAAAACACAATTAAAATTAAAATAAAGACTTAATTTCAGAAGTAACAGCATTGTAAATGTAAGTAAGGGGAAAGAAGGCAAAATTTGAATCTATATAATGCTACAGAATACAAAGGATAATTACAATTTTTATTAACTCAAAATAATACATGTGTATATACATGCCCTGTAGATATTAATATTTTCGAAAATATCCCCTCACTTGGTTTTGAAATATTCTACTTTCTGGCATGTGAAATGGCTTGTTAAATAATTATGCATGCCTGTTTGCATGCTTAATTATCAATACAAAATTTTAAAAAGCTCATTTTTTATTCTCTCAGCGGAAAGCAATGGTTCAAATTGCTTTTACTATAAGAAAGTAATGAAATGTAATTTCCACTCCAATGAAAAATAAACAGTGTCTTTCAAAGGCATATATATTTTGTTACTGAAAAAATACTGTCACATTTTTATGGTAACTTAAATTCCTCTCGTAAAGTTTTAATATTTGTAAAATTTGAAGGCTAGAACTCTTTGAAACTAAACTTGTTTATTCTGTACTATTCTAAGCAAAACCCATCATTTAAACCATGCCCAGACAGTGACTGACAATTCAAATTGCCTTTCATAACTTAGATCACTTGCAAAATAGGAATAAAATCAGAAACATATTTTGCAAAATGAGGAATGTTTTCATTATAATGTTCTTCCCTATGGCACTTCAAAGAAGAAAACCAAGCACTTCTGCACTTTAATATGAAGCATTACAAATAATAAATGACATACAATAGCTAGTAGACTCTATTCTATATGAATATTATATGCAACGAATTAATAATACATCACCTATATTATATCATGAATTAAACAGAAGGAGGTAGCTCTCTATGGATACAAGTCTGTCTAAGTGCATGGTTTTGTGTGTTTCCAAAGTTTGGTCAAGTGGCCAAGTCTGCTTATGATTATGCATATTATTACTTGATTTACATAGCAAATGTCTTCTTAAGACACTGTTATGCTTCAATGTTTATAAGATGTAACTTAATTATTTCTTACTAGAGACCTGGTGCAGGAAAATTCGTGCACTCGAGGGGGTGAGGGGGGGTTGTCCTTCAGCCCAGCCTACGTCCTCTTGCAGTCCAGGAACCGTTGGGGGATGTACACCTGCCAGCTTAGGCCTGCTCCCTGGGAGACTGGGCCTAAGCCGGCAGTCAGATATCCTTCTGGCAGCCTAGGAGCCCTTGGGGGATGTCCGACTGCTGGGGAGCGGGCCTAAGCCGCAGTTGGACATCATTAGCACTGCCACGGAGGTGGGAGAGGCTCCTGCTACCACCACTGCGCTCGCAGCCATCAGCCCAGTTTGTGGCTAAGGAGCAGAACTTCCCCTGTAGGAGCGCACTGACCACCAGGGGGCAGCTCCTGCATTGAGTGTCTGCCCCCTGGTGGTCAGTGTGCGTCATAGTGACCAGTCGTTCCACCATTAGGGTCGATTTGCATATTACACTTCTATTATATAGGATTAGAGATAGCCTCATAACCACAAACATGTCTTCTAACTAAAATTCAGGAAAACCAATGACTTGAGTCTGTGGATTTCTGTGAAAAAATCCAATGAACAACCAATAGGTTTTCTTTTCTTTTTTCAAATATATTTTTATTAATTTCAGAGAAGAAGAGAAGGGGAGAGAGAGATAGAAACATCAGTGATGAGAGAAAATCATTGATCGGCTGCCTCCTACTTGCCCCACACTGGGGATCAAGTCCACAACCAGAGCATGTGTCCTGATGAGGAATTGAACTGTGACCTCCTGATTCATAGGTAGATAGATGCTTAACAACCGAGCCACACTCGCTGGGCAATAGGTTTTCTTTTACATAAACTTTATTTTTTAGAACAGTTTTAGAAATACAGAAAATTGCAGAGGGTCTCCATATATCCTGTACCCTGGTTCCTCTATTCTTAGACTTATTACCTAAGTTTTTCCAAGTAATATTCTTTTCTTAGATATAGAACTAACTTTCAATCCTGGGGGTTACAGGTCTAGGTTTTCTCTCAGCCTTTTCCTGTTTTTTTCCGTACCTCAGTGGTTGTGAATTATTCTTCTATGTCAACACTTAGAAACTCACGTCTAACATTTATTAAGATTCAATATACTCTATATTTAGTAATTGATTAAGAATCAAAAATCCGCCCTAACCGGTTTGGCTCAGTGGATAGAGTGTCCGCCTGCGGACTGAAAGGTCCCAGGTTCGATTCCAGTCAAGAGCATGTACCTTGGTTGCAGGCACAACCCCAGTGGGGAGTGTGCAGGAGGCAGCTGATCAATGTTTCTCTCTCATTGATGTTTCTAACTCTCTATCCCTCTCCCTTCCTCTCTTTAAAATAATCAATAAAATATATTTTTTTTAAAAAAAAGAATCAAAAATCCCATTTGAGAAATTGGGGATCTGAAGCTCAGTAGAAACTTCTGATAAGTACAACTGGAAGGGTTTTTTTATTTATTTATTTCACATTTATGTTCTTTCCACTACACCAGTGGTTCTCAACCTTGGCTGCACATTAGAATCTTTTTAAAATCCTGATTTCTGGGCCTCATCCGCCGGAAATTCTGTTTCTTTGTTATGGGGTGGAGCCACAACATTAGTAACAAAGAAACAGAATTTCCGGCGGATGAGGCCCAGAAATCAGGATTTTAAAAAGATTCTAATGTGCAGCCAAGGTTGAGAACCACTGCACTACACCATGATGCTTCAGGCATTTTTATATATTCTATACTGTGACTCTACTATACCATAGATAAGTGGTTCTCAACCTTCCTAATGCCGCAACCCTTTAATACAGTTCCTCATGTTGTGGTGACCCCCAACCATAAAATTATTTTCATTGCTACTTCATAACTGTAATTTTGCTACTGTTATGAATCGTAATGTAAATATCTGATATGCAGGATGTATTTAGGTGACCCCTGTGAAAGGGTCGTTCGACCCCCAAAGGGGTTGCGACCCACAGGTTGAGAACCGCTGCCATAGGTTGTCGCTATTGCTAGAACAAAGAAGTGCTGACATTATAAAATGGAAATGAATGTTCACTTTAGAGATACTACCTATATAAAAGTATCACTCCTGGCACTGACCCATTTAGTAATATATTTGGCTACTTATTTAGCCTCTCTTATTGTAAGCCTGTTTTTTTTTTACCTTAACACCTCATTCTTTAAATGGAAGTTGAAAATATTTTAATAAAGGTCAGATAATAAATATTGTAGGCTTTTAAGGGCAGATGATCTTTCTCACAATCCCTGAACTCTGCCATCTGAGCAGAAAAGCAGCCATAGAAAACATGTAAGCAAACAGGGGGAATTTTGTGCCAATAAAATCTTTTTTACTGAGATTATGGGCTAAATGTGGTTCATTGGCCATAGTTTGCCTAACCCTGCATTAAACAATGGTGTTGGACTAAATGAATTTTAAAATTCCATTTTATAGCCTTTTCTCTTTACTCAAAAAGAAATATGAATAATGGACATGATGTTAAATCAATCTGCCATATTTCAGCAGAATGGATACATAGGCTATATTATCTAAAATGCCGCTCTGTGTAGAGTAGTTTTGAGTAAGTTCTCTGGATTCCGAACTGCCTGGGTTGAAATCCTAAATCCTTGACTTATGAGTCATGCAAGCATTTGAAAGTACTTTAACTCTCAGTTTTCTCAAAACTCAGTAGGGAATTAAGGCAGTTTTTGTTTGTCTGTTTGTTTGTCTTTAAAGCCTGTAGATCTTTTGGCACTTCTTCCATTGAGAATTATGGTCTTTGTCTCTTACTCTTGACTTTGACCTCCCTTAATGATGCACTTGTGTTCCATAGACTGCAGTAAACATATTGCTTCATAGGCCAAGGCTGAGTCAGAAAAGGCCATAGAGTCTCCACCTGCTTTTCTCTTGTTTCCTGAGGGAAGCCAGCCCACAGGTGCAAATACCAACTACCCTGAGATCCACATTCACTCCTGTCAACAACAGACCCAGCTGATCTCCCAGCCAACAGCCAGCATCTACTGTCAGCTGTGTTGGAAATCCAGTCAGTTCAGGTAGCAGATGACTGTAGCCACAACTGTTATCTAACTATAATGCATGCAACTCTTCAAGCAAGATTTGCCCTCGTGAGCCCTTACCAAATCCCAACCCACAAAATTGTAAACAAAATAAAATATTTTTTTCATGAGAGAGCAGAAACCAAGAGATGTGATAGAAGTAATATTCCCTCTTATGCTTGTTATACAAACTCAATGAGCGAATATGTGTAAAAGTACTTAGAACAATACCTGAGTAAGTATTATATAGAGTAAGCACTTGTGCAAAAAAATGCTAGCTATTATTAATATACTGGTCAATTTCAGCTTCCTAATAAATGGAAAGCAGTGAATTTTGAGGATAAAATTTAAAACAATAGAAATCACTAAAGTAATGAGAAATATGTAATGGAGCGACTTATCCATCAGGCACGGTGCCTCAGGCCCATGATACTTTTAGGGACATGCAAAAATGTTTTAATTTCTTTTAATATCAGAAAGAAAAAAAATTAATAATAGTGAATGCATGATAATCAATGCAGTCTGGATCATATTATTCCTTCTGCCAATGTGGTCATAACATTTAAAATATTTTTTACAAAGGAAGGAGCCTACAAAGGCAAGAGCCCCCAGAGTTCACAAAAATCATAATATGTCTCTGAATATGCATAGATTAATCTAAGCTTACAGTGCTCCCTCAGAGTGTCTGGCCTTGATGTTACTCTGAAAATTTTGCTTGTAAATGTGTAATTTTTTAAAAAACTCATCTGCCTCTTTGGGTCTTTCTTCCATACCCCATTAAGCTAGCCCTTTGTTATAGTAATGCATATGTGCAAGATAAACTGAAATTCTTATTGATTAAAAGTCAAATTCTGATCAAGTGAGAAAGGATGAGAAAGGACCTGAGGAGCAGCATTGAGGGTTAATAATATATCAT